AATATGAAACTAGAATCCTTTCATTGTCTCAAATCAGCAAATTTCACCTAGAACATAAGAGTCAATGTCCCAGCATCATCAGAGGAGGGGAAGCTGAAATAGTCCCACAGGCTGCTCATGTGCATCTTTCAATTTCCCAATCCTGGAAATAGAAAGGAATCAAAACAAAAACCTCAGTCTCAACTTTGTGAATCTTTAGAGACGAGAATCAGAGGAGAAGGAAGTGTGAACTGTTCAATTGAGCAGAGACAGTCAAGGCACCTTCCCCGTCTAAGGGGCTGGGGCATTGAATGGATTTCCCTCAAAGCTGCTGTGCTTTTGCCATTGCCCTTGTCATGAATCCTGATTCCCTAGCTAGGAATTGAACCCAGGCCACGGCAGCTAGAGTGCCAAATCCTAACCACAAGACCACCAGGAATGAGGGCAAAAGTACTTGCATCATTTCTTAATGACACAGCTTTGGATTTTATTTCACCGAGGATCAGTTTCTCCTCTGAAATGATTGAATCATTGAGTTTTCACAGTACAGAAAGAGGCACATCATCCCAGTTTCCAGCACTTGGAAGCCTTGTGTGCTCTGATGTTTCAAGTAATCATCTCAATGTTATTTTCCCTGTAACGTTTTAATCTCAAGCAACACAACAAATGGCACTGAAGTTTGAGATAGAAAAACTGTATTCGTGCCCCCTTGGGGAACTGAACCTCATTTTCACCCACAGAAGGAAAAAAAACAGGGACACATTCCGTCAAGAGTGACAAAGGCCTCAGGAGAAACCAACCCCCAGAAAATAGAATTTCACCCACTTGGCTTGTATTGTCCCATTTCAGACTTCAAAACTAGAATCTGGTTACAGCAACAAAAGGAAGCACTCGGCAGCTGCCCTGGGACTGTGTTCCTCCTCCGTTGTTTCCCCGTCACTCTACAGTTTATACTGCCTCACCTCCCTCTTCCTGCCGAACATTGCTCACGTCAGCTGTTTCCTCTCCTTCCAAATGTCTTCCTCAAGTACCTGGAAGGAGAAACAGGAATTTGGCATTTCAAATACATTTCTGGCCTCTGGAGGAAATGAAATTGTCATAATTCCACATGATATTTAAAGTGCTCCTTTGGATTGTGGAAGCAGCAGGTGTACAAAATTTGGCAGAGGCCCCATTGAGACTCAAACTCACGATCCCTGGTTTACAGGGCCACTGCTCAAACCACCGAACTACGGAGGCAGCACGACTACATTGTGAGAGAGGGTCTCATGTATTAAAAACTGCAATGTAATAGATAATTGGATAGTCTGTTATTATAAACCAAGACGTAACAAAACCAAGACAGAGCTGAGAGGATCATGTGCATAAGGATGGGAGAATGCAAGGCCAAATCAGACAGTGTCCAGTGTTGTATAAACAGAGGTCTTCACTGGTAGTCGAGTAATTAGGATTCGGCACCTGCATGGCCATGGCCTGTTAATGGTTAACATTTATGGTCATCAAAATTAAATGTTGACTGATCTTTAGAAGCAGAATTATGTCACGAACCAGTCAGATTCACTTCACAGCATGTTACAATTCCACATCAACAATGTCAGCTACAATTGCCTTACATGCAATTGGTTTAAAATGAGAACAGAACGGACATCAGGAAAAGTGAAGGGTGATGGTGGTTTGTGAGAGTTGACTGTAGGCCTAGCGAAGCCAGGCTCGGTGTGGGTGCTGAAGTCCAGTCTTCACTGTTTATCTTGGTATACAGATCACTCTGGATCAATCACATAATGACTCTCTTCTGTCTGTTATCCTTTGCAAATCTCACTTCAGTTCAGTGCCTGAAGGGAATCAGGTGCCACACATTTTTAACTTGGCAATTAACTCAGTTCAGTTTTGCAGCCTGATATTAAGACCATAAATTTTAGAAGCAGGTAGATACAATTCAGCCCATAAGTCTGCTCCTCAATTCAATGAGCTCATTTCAGAACTGATAATCCTGAACTACACTTCGTTGCCTTTCCCATACTTTTTGATATCTTTCCTAATTAAAAAGCTTTTGATCCCAGACTTGAATATACTTAATGACCCTGCCTCGACAGCACTCTGCTGTAAAGAGTTCCACCGGTTTGTAACCATCTAAGAGAATAAATTCTTCCTCATCTCTGTCCGAAATGTGCGACTCCCCTTCTGATGCTAGGCACTCTGGTCCAACACTGTCCCAGAAGGGAACCAACCTTTCTGCATCCAATCTATTAAACTGCTAAAATAAAACCCTGCATGGGGGTGGCACAGTGGCTCTGTGGTTAGCATTGCTGTCTCACAGTGCCACGGACCCAGATTTGATTCCAACTTCAGGTGACTGTGTGGAATTTGCACATTCTCCCTGTGTCTGGTAGGTTTCCTCCAGGTACCTGGTTTCCTCCCACAGTCAAAACATATGCAGGTTAGATGGATTGACCATGTTAAATTTCCCATAGTACCCAGGGATGTGGCTGCAGGTCTGCTCTCAGAGCCGGTGTGTTTGATTTCAGATTTTTCATCACCCTGCTAGGTAACATCATCAGTGCACCTCTGGTGAAGCATTGATGTTCTGTCCCACTTGTTATTTTTATGCTGGGGTGGTTGGCATCACTTCCAGTTCTGTTTTTCAGTGGTTTGTACATCGGTCCAGTTGAATATGTTTGTAGATGGTGTTCCAGTTGGAATGTCAGGCCTCCAGAAATTCCTTGGCATGTCCCTGTTTCGCTTGTGCCATTATGGATGTGTTGTCCCAGTCGAATTCGTGTGTTTCTTTGTCCGTGTGTTTGAGACAAGTGAGATATGGTCGTGTCTCTTGGTGGCTAATTGGTGTTCATGTATCCTTTTTGTCAGTTTCCTTCCAGTTTGGCCTATGTAATGTTTCTCACAGTCATTGCATGGTATCCCTTTAACGACTCTCCTTTTCAATCTCTCTGCTCATCTGATGTCTAGTGCCGCTCAGGCTAAACCCACCACCAGTTGTCTCTCTCTTTAGGAAAGCAGTCCTATGGTCCAGAACAAGTATGGTGAGTTTACCACTTAATGCATGGCTTAGTGTCAGATTTTCTTATCATATATGCTGAGGCACACAAGGGACGTTTTATTCTCTATCATATGTATTATACATGTCAGTTGTCCTTGCAGGAGATAAATTGAAAAAATACTTTTACACATAACAACAAATATAAAATTCAAAACCGACAATGCCGCCTAGTTAACCCAGCATGCCGAGTGATTGTGAACGTTGCCTACGCACAATATCTCTTAACAATACGCATGCGCACGTCGTCCCCGCCTACCCATATTCCGGAGCATGCACAGTGGCAGCGATTTTGAGGAGGTTCTGCTAATTTCATCGGCTCCACAAAAAGCAACAATAAGGCGGAGTGGTTGAGGTGATGGACTGGGCGGCCTCATAAACACTTTGAGAGAATGTTGTGAATGTCTCTGCTGGACTTACAGGGATAGAGTTTATAAACTCCTTTTACAGGGAGTGAGGAGTGGAAGATTTACACACTTCAAACTCAAAACAACGGAAAAATTAAAACCGAAAAAACTGTGGATGCTGTAAATCAGGAGCAAAAACAGAAGTTGCTGGAAAAACTCAGTGGGTCTGGCAGCATCTGTGAGGGGAAAAAACAGAGTTAACCTTTCGGATCCGGTGACCCTTCGTCAGGTGACTGGGAAAACGTCAGTTTACATGCAAAAAAAAGGGGAGGGGGAGGGGATAGGGAGTAAATAATAGGATAGAGCCTAAAGAGAGAGAAGAGCAGTCGGACAGACAAAGAGTTGATAACGATCAGGCTGGGAGGGTGAATAGTTGTTAATGGGGACTGTTAGTGACTAACAACAGGGGGTGTGTAATGGCAGGCTATGTAGTAACAAGGCCTGGTGTGTGGGGTAGGGAGCTGGGACATGGGAAAGTTTAGGCCCTAAAATTATTGTCTTGATATTGACTCTGGAGGGCTGAATAATCTGTAACTCCTTCCTTCACAACATTGTAGGACCTCATGTGGGAAGATAAAGTTGCTAAGGCAGCAGCACATGGTTAGGAGAATGGGCAGTGGTAAAGGTATCAATCAGATACAGTCAGTGGAAGAAACAATAAAACACTAAACAGAGCTCCAGTACACCTGTTAAAAGAGGCAGAGGAGGTTAGGCAAGTGTAAGAGGGGAATGTGAGAGACATTGGGGAGCGCATTACAATAGTTAAGTCCAGAGGTAACAAAGCAATAGATGAGGGTTTCAGTCGCAGATAAAGTGGAGACTACGAGGAGTCAGATGATGTTACTGATGTGGAAGTGGGCAGTCTTATATGTGGTTGAAAACTCACCTCTCGGTGAAATATTTCATCATGGTTAAGACCTGTTGGTTCAGACTCAGACAGAGGGATGAAGTCAGTGGTAAGGCAGTGGGGTTTGTATTGGGGACTGAAGACAAAGGCCTCAGTTTTGCCATTATTTAATTGAAGGAAATTTCCACTCCACCAAGACTGAATATCAGACAAGTCAGGACAGTTTGTGACCTGGAGGGAACTTGGAGGTGATGCTGTTCACATCCACCAGCTACCCCGCTCCTCCTCAGAGGTGGAAGCAGAGTGTGTAGGAAGGTATTCACTCAGTCATCTAATCTGCTGCAACATCAGCTCATTCTCACTGAGGAGAGACCATTTCAGTGCCTGGTCTGTGGAAAATAGCTCACATTAATAAGAAACTATTTAAATGCCCAAACTGTGGAAAATGTTATAAAACCTCTGGGAACTTAAGGTCCCATCAATATGCTCATACTAATGAGAGACCTTTTAAATGCCCAGACTGTGGAAAATAGTATAAATGGTCTGGGGACCTGATGTCCTATCAACGTGCTCACACGGAGGAAAAACCTTTTAACGGCCCAATCTGTGGGATGTGCTTTAAAAGTCCCAGGGACACGATGTCCCATTCACTTGCTCACATTAATGAGAGACCTGTTAAATCTGTGGGAAGTGCTACAAAACCTCCAGGGACCTGATGTCCCACCAACATGTTCAATCTGAGGAGAGACCATTCAGGTGCTCTCTCTGTGGGACTGGGTTCAGGCGATCATCTGACCTCATGGAGCACCAGCAGGTTCACACTAGGAAGAGACCATTCAGCTGCTCTGAGTGTGGAAGGGAATTCACTCAGTTGTTCAACCTGCTGAGACACCAGCAAGTTCACACTGTGGAGAGATCATTCAAACGCCCAGACTGCGGGAAGTGCTACAGAAGGTCCTGGGGACTGACATGTCATCAATGTGTTCACACTGAGGAGACACCTTTCAAATGTCTAGTCTGTGGGAAGTGCTATCGAATTTCTGTGGAACTGAAGTCTCATCAATATGTTCACATGATGAGAGACCTTTCAGGTGCTTTTGTTGTGAAACTGAGTTCAGGCGATCATCTCAATGCTCAGTAAACCAGTGTGTTCATACTGGGGTGAAAGTATTTACCTGCTCCATGTGAGAAAAATGGTTAGCTCACTCATCAACCCTGCTGAGACAGCTCACAGTGCACACATCTCAACAGCGATTGTACTTTGCTGTTCATCACAGTCGGGACTGAAAGCAAAGTTTTAATGTTCTGGATAAAAGTCAAATAAATCAGCTTTGTGTTAAACACTGTGGAAGGTCATTGTAAGGATGTGATCACAAAGTACTTGGAAGAGTCAGCGTAGCTTTGTCAAAGGGAAGACATGCCTGAGAAATCTGTTAAAGTTCTTTGAGAAGGTACTAAACAAGTTAGGCAAGGGAGAACCCGTGGATGTGATCAGTTAGATTTCCAGAAGGCATTTGACGAGGTGCCGTTTGGGAAGCTGCTAAAGAAGATGAGAGTCTATGGTGTTAGGGGCGAGTTACTGGCATGGATTGAGGATTTTCTGACTATCAGAAAGCAGAGAGTTGGGATAAAGGGATCCCGATGACTAGTGGAATTCAGCAGGTGTTAGTGTTGAAAAATAAAGAAATAAGTTAAAAACGTCTTCTCAGTATAAAAGTGAAAAAATACAATATTAAAAGTTAAAATGTCAAACATTACAATCCTTCCTTAAGCTACGAGCCTGCAGACACTTAGACTGGGCTTTACCAAAGAGGGCTCAATTTCCCCTGTATTGGGCATGGATATGCCTGTTTTCACCAGCTATCCTTGCGCTTACTGCCGCCGTCGACCTGCAAAGAGCACAGCAGGCCTCGCTGCTGTTTGCAAGGCCTCAGCTCCGACTGCCACCTTGCCACTGCTGCCATTCTTCACAGTGGTTCACCACCAGCTGCCACCGCTGCCTCCTTTGCTGCCAGACGCCATTCCTGCTGGGCCCCCACTGCTCTGTTGCCACATCACCGTTTCACTGCAGAATCTAGATCTGGCACTGCTCCTGCATTGATGCCAGCAACTGCAACCAGCTGCCTCATGGCCAATGTCAAAGGCCCCAATCCCTGCCATCATCACCTCCACGACCAAGCTCCAAAGACTAAAGAACCGAAAGAAAGAAAGAGAGAAAAGGGAGAAAAGAAAAAATGAAAAAGAAAGAAAAGCAGTCAGAGCAGATGAGCTCTAATGAGGAGCCCCATTCCGCTGCATCTCGGATGGAGAACTGTACTCTGGACTGAGGGGAGGACTACTTTCTCTCCACTCTATTAACAGCACTTTCAATGGGAAGCATTTCCAGATCGTCAATTCTAACCAGATGTCACTGCAAGGTCTAACAGTGTTTTTCTATTCACCAGCACCTGACTATCAATAGCCTTTCACCGTGCAAAGTAAAATGTTTGTTTGTTGTGTCTGTGGGAAATGACTTCCAAGATTATTGTCACTGGAAAGGCTCTGGAAAATTTGAAATCATGTGTAGAGGAGTAAAGGAGTTTTTCCTCAAGTCAGTCCTAAACGGCCTAATTCATATTCTTAAACTATGACACTTTGATTCTAGACTCCCTGGTAAATTCCTTTACTCTGAGACTGGTGAGCCCATGGAATTTGCTGGCACAGCAAGCAGTTCTGGCCAAAATATTGGATATTTCCAAGAAGAAGGTAGATATAGTTTTGAGGGCTAAAGGGATCAAAGAATATGGATCTAAAGTTGGAACAGGCTGAGAACGACAATCAGGCATGATAATACTGACTAGTGGAGCAGGATCAAACGTAACAATGGCCTATTTCTGTTCCTATTTTCTGTGTTTCTATTCTGTTAAAGGTGGGACAAAAAAAATGAAGTGATTGTAACTGACACAGTTATCAGCACTACTTCATCACCACTGGATGAAAATCCCATAACACCTTACAGAACAGCAATCTGGGAACAGCTTCACCACACAGACTCCAGCAGTTCAAGAAGGTCAAGGAGGCAGAGTGATTTTAGAAGCTTCTGAACTGGCTGCTCCATCTCTTGTTTTCTGTCCAGTTCTCAAACTGTTGAATATTTTGAGAAAAGCAACATAGTATGTTGGAAATAAAAAAATATCTTTGGAACATAGAATTTTATTGGTTTCTGTGAATCCTTCCGCATTCGTCTAAAATGAAGTAAATTTCATCCTAACCGATCCATTCTGTCCTCATACGTAAGTCCTGCCATCCCAGGGATCAGTCTGGTAAACCTTTGTTGTACAGCCTCCATAGCCAGAACATCCTTCGTCAGATAAGGATTCCAAAATTGCACACAGAACTCCAGATGTGGTTGCACCAATTTCCTACACAATTTCAACAAGACATCGCTGCTCCTGTACTTAAATCCTCCCACTATGAAGGCCAAAATGCCATTTGCCTGCTTCACCTTTATGGTAAATTTCAGCGACTTGTGTATATGGACAAACAAGACTCGTTTCTCATTTCCCTTTTATAAATCTAAACTGACTGACTGTCCAATCCTGTCACTGTTTTCCAGTTTAGGCTAGCTGGTCTATAATTCCAAGTTTTCTCTCTACCTCCTTTACATAGTGGAGTTACGTTAGCATCCCTCTAATTCATAGGAATTGTTCCAGAATCTGTAGAATCTTGAAAGATGACCATCAATTTCCTCTATTTAGATTCAAGCGCCAAGTTTCAGAATGTGTCCACTATATCTCGGGCCACTTTGTTAACTAATCTGGCGTGTAGATTACCAGTTGCTGAGATTTGTTGGCATTTAATCCCATCAATTTCCCGAGCCCCACTTCCCTACAGATACTGATTTCCTTCAGTTCCTCCCTCTCATGTGTTCCCCAACATTTTAGGTATACTTGTATTATCCTTTGTGATGACAGAACTAAAATATGTAGGTAATTGGTCTACCATCTCTTTATTCCACACTATAAATTCCCCCATTTCTGATTGGAAGGGATTTAGAGTCATAGAGCTATAGAGCACAGAAACAGAACCTTCGGTCAGAATCGTCCATGCCAATGAGATATCCTAAATAAATCTAGTCCCATTTGCCAGCATTTGGACAATATCCCTCTAAACCCTTCCTATTCATATACCCATTCAAATACCTTTTAAATGTTGTTATTGTACTAGACTCCACCACTTCCTCTGGCAGCTTGTTCCATGCACAGACCACTCTCTGCATGAAAAAGATGCTCCTCAGATCCCTTTTAAATCTTTCCCCTCTCACTTAAACCTGTGTCCTCTAGTTTTGGACTCACCCACTGCAGGGAAAAGGCCTTGTCTATTTACCCTATCCATGCCCCTCATGATTATATAAACCTCTATTAGGTCACCCCTCAGCCTTCGACGCTCCAGGAAAAATAGTTCCAGTCTATTCAGCATTCCCTATTGCTCAAACCCGCCAACCCTGGCAACATCCTTATAAATCTTTTCTGACCCCTTTCAAGTTTTACAATATCCTTCCTGTAGCAGGGAGATGAGAATTGCACACAGTTACAGAATTGTGGCTTAACTGATGTCCTGTACAGCCACAACAGGACCTCCCAACTCCGATACGCAATGCACTGACCAACAAAGGCAAGTATACCAAATGCCTTCTTCACTACCCTATCTACCTACAACTCTGCTTTCAAGTAACTAAGAGCCTGCACTCCAAGGTCTCTTTGTTCAGCAACACTCCCCGGGAGCTTACCATTAAGTATATAAGACAAGATTGGGGCCGGTCAAGGACAGTAGTGGGAAGTTGTGCGTGGAGTCCGAAGAGATAGGAGAGGTGGTAAATGAATATTTTTCGTCAGTATTCACACAGGAAAAAGACAATGCAGTCGAGGAGAATACTGAGATACAGTCTATTAGACTAGATGGGATTGAGGTTCATAAGGAGGAGGTGTTATCAATTCTGGAAGGTGTGAAAATAGATAAGTCCCCTGGGCCGGATGGGATTTATCCTCGGATTCTCTGGGAAGCTAGACAGGAGATTGCAGAGCCTTTGGCTTTGATCTTTATGTCGTCATTGTCTTCAGGAATAGTGCCAGAAGACTGGAGACTAGCAAATGTTGTCCCCTTGTTCAAGAAGGGGAGTAGAGACAACCCTGGTAATTATAGACCAGTGAGCCTTACTTCGGTTGTGGGTAAAGTGTTGTAAAGGATTATAAGAGATAGGATTTATAATCATCTAGAAAGGAATAATTTGATTAGGGATAGTCAACACGGTTTTGTGAAGGGTAGGTCGTGCCTCACAAACCTTATTGAGTTCTTTGAGAAGGTGACCAAACAGGTGGATGAGGGTAAAGCGGTTGATGTGGTGTATATGGATTTCAGTAAAGCGTTTGATAAGGTTCCCCATGGTATGCTATTGCAGAAAATACAGAGGCATGGGATTGAGGGTGATTTAGCGGTTTGGATCAGAAATTGGCTAGCTGTAAGAAGACAGAGGGTGGTGGTTGATGGGAAATGTTCATCCTGGAGTTCAGTTACTAGTGGTGTACCTCAGGGATCTGTTTTGGGGCCACTGCTGTTTGTCATTTTTATAAATGACCTGGATGAGGGTGTAGAAGGATGGGTTAGTAAATTTGCGGATGACACCAAAGTCGGTGGAGTTGTGGATAGTGCGGAAGGATGTTGCAGGTTACAGAGGGACATAAATAAGCTGCAGAGCTGGGCTGAGAGGTGGCAAATGGAGTTTAATGTGGAAAAGTGTGAGGTGATTCACTTTGGAAGGAGTAACAGGAATACAGAGTACTGGGCTAATGGTAAGATTCTTGGTAGTGTGGATGATCAGAAAGATCTCGGTGTCCATGTGCATAGATCACTGAAAGTTGCCACCCAGGTTGATAGCGTTGTTAAGAAGGTGTACAGTATGTTAGGTTTTATTGGTAGAGGGATTGAGTTTCGGAGCCATGAGGTCATGATGCAGCTGTACAAAATTCTGATGCGGCCGCACTTGGAGTATTGCGTACAGTTCTGGTCACCGCATTATAGGAAGGATGTGGAAGCATTGGAAAGGGTGCAGAGGAGATTTACCAGGATGTTGCCTGGTATGGAGGGAAGGTCTTATGAGGAAAG